TCACAGGCACAAGATCCCATCTACCTCACCTCCTCCCAGCTGAGGGCTCAGAACAGAAAGTGTCCTCACCGCTACTTCAGTTCCCTATGAACTGTAAAATCCCTGCAGCAAGAACCTCCGGAGAGTATAAACAGGGCAGGAAGAAAATGCACACGACACACAGTGAAAAATTAAGTTCCTGGTAAATAATTTTTCCGCTAACTTGACTCGACATGAGCAGTGAGTCCAAAGAGTAACACATCCTGTTGTTCATATTCATACATGGTGGTTGTTACCACAGACATTACTACAAATCTATCAACTGCAGCATTAGCCTGGGGATGCTTCTCAGGAGTCTTACACTTGGTACAAACAGAACCCAGGGGGCTGCTCAAATATCAAGAGGAAAACTTTTCTCAAGGCTCACAGCAGCAGATTTAGCTTTAACAGGCTGCTACGACAACAAAAGGTGGCTCTGTATTCTGAAGTCACCTTGATCTTGCAAAAACTAGTGCAGATAGTGTACCAAAGCACCTGGTCCTGTTCTCACAATTTATTAAGGCTGTGAAGCGTTGCCTAAATCCTGAAGACATAAGGCTTGAAAGTGGGAAATTAATCCAACAAACCAAAAAACAAACACAGAAAGGCTGATACCTCAAGTTGAAGGGGAATTGAGAATCCATCTGAAAAAGAAAATTTCAAATGGGGTGTCTCTAGGCACACTCACTGGAGGTGATCCATGACATTGGCCCAAACCTCTCCCACCCTTTGCTAGATGTTAACCACAACCAAGACATTTCCTCACAACCTTAAGATGATGTCACATGGGGTGGAACATGAGACTTCTGAAATTTATATCCCAACAGATAGCAGAGATCTTTGAAGGCAAATGACTGGCTGAGGGTAGCGTTGCAGGGTGAGGGTAGTGGGGGAAGAGAAACAGCAACAGCAACAGGTAGAAATGGCAGCAAGGCAGGGCCTCAGTCAAAAGAAGAACCCAGGCTGGTATTCAGGACATTTTATTGGAGGTAAAAGAAAGATTGAGAATTGAGCAAGAGGAACAAGTATGTGTTTAGAGAACCCAGTTGATTTTACCATGTAATCTGAGTTACACAGAGACATTCTTGCTATTAATCATTACCTCTCTTACAGGAGAGAGACAAGTATGCTCTGCAGAAAACGGCAATCTAACTTTGATGCTGAGAAGCAAAACACAGCAAGACTGGAGTGGCGGAGTCCAGGATTCAGTGCTACCACTTCAGGGAGAGAGGCAAGGAACTCAGTGACAAGCAAAGATGATTTCAATGGCCAAGTCTTACCTCAGTTAAGGTTAGGGCTCTTCATAAGGATGAATGCTTTCCTCTACCCAATCCTGACAGTAACTACTGTTCCACCACCAATTCTGTATCAGTCCATTTGAACTCAAAGTCAGCAAGGCACCAAACTCAGAAGCAGAAAATTTTGACAGGAACATCACATTCATGCCAGAAGAAATAGGGGAAAGGAGATGACATGGGGCTGGAAACTGATACAGGACATAACTAATCTTGGAACTGCTGAACTGCTAGGCGGCAGCACAATGCAGAACATCCTTGAGCATTAGGTAACACTGTCTCCTCTCCCAGAGGGCTACGCAAGGAATATAATATTCCTTCCAAAGTCCTCTCGGGAGCTGCACTCATCACCCTGCAGGAAAGGAACTTGGTTCTCTCACCAAACCTGAGGAGCAGCTCTTGGTGGTAGAGGTGGGAATTTCCTTAGTTCCAAGCCTCAGGCTACAAGACAAAACAGATCAGAGTAAGACCAGAAGTGCAAATATCCCTGGAATGGCTGAATGAAAAATGCTGTGGCAGGCAGATATGACAGAGACATAATATTGTCCCTGAGTGAAAAAAAGAGAACAGCCAGTAGGTTTGGAAATACGCAGCTTCTAAGCACTGGCAGAGGACAGTCATATGGACCTTGACCTTGCTTCCAAGTGGCAGCTCAACTCTTTCTCAACAGTCTAAACCACCACCAGCAGCATACCAACTGAGGGGAACTCAGGAAGGTAACAGTACTGCTGTCTCTGGCCAGAATCAATCACAGACACCGAATGGGAAAAACAGATGGCCCGGTGTTGCCTACAGGGAAGCCGGTGGCCAAGTTCCACATTAAAGGTGTTGACAGTGTTTCGGAAGTTTGAAGTAGAATGGGGAGCAGAGACGCTTCAATCTGCATACTCCAGAGCTGAGAAGTGTATAAGCAATGTGTTGTTGTTCCTTTTCCTTTAGGAAAAAATAGATTGAACTGCTTATTTGCTCTGGAGTTGGAGGGTCTAGTCAGGCCAAGACTAGGATTGGCACATCTGCATGGGATCCAGCTGCACACCTATTAGGACACAACAAATGCTTTCTGTAGATTTTTCTGAAGCTGCAGCTCCTGGTCCTGCAAACCCATCGCTAGAAAGCTCTGACAGAGCATCAGCCCTCACAGAGGCAACTGAGAAACAGCCTGTGAGGGTTCTGGTGCAGACCCACACATGTAGCATATGAGAGAGGAATATAACTTGTAGAGTGGCTTCTTGTAATGGGACTTGTAAATGGAATTACAGCCAAAACCAGACAATCACAGGAAGCTAGTCAATATGTATTCAAAGAGTATTACTATGTTCTCAAGAGAAAAAAATAAAAAATAAAAAAAAAAAAATTAAAGGAAACTGATCACAAGGTGCTTCTTTTCCATCAGACTATTGAAAGAAGCTGAAATGTCACAGTGCACACACCACAGGCATTAAGCTATGAGGGAGGCAGGTGACATAGTAAAGCTGCTGAGGAAGCAAATCATTCTTTGGTCTGGAGAGAGAAGATGCATCATCTGGTTAACAAGTACTCAGGCAACAAAACACTGTCCGTGGACTATATACCAGAAACTGCAGGTTACTGCATTAATATCTTAATTTCTCAATGCTCGGAAGAGAGAAGAACAACTGTTTGGACAAGCACATTATTCCATGGCAATGTGATGGCACAATACTGACAAGAACTGACATAGAAACAGCATCAGAGAGGTGACAGACCACTATGCTTCAGCACTTTAATGGGGCAGGAGAAAGAAGAAGGGAAGCTCTCTCCCCTTGACACTGCCACTCATACAAAACCCTGACCAGAAAGCAGACACTAATCTACATCTCAGCCCTGTATTCATAGGACAACATGCTGAGGTTAGCTTAAAGGGAAAACAGAAATTTATATACCAAGCCAGGCTCCTATGAAAGCTTCAAATAGCAGCACTATCATCACTTGCTTGCTTTCTTGAAGGTGAAGAGTGATACAAAGCTTAAAATTTGCTATTGAAGCAAGAGGGAGACTTGGGCTTTTCTCAGCACAGAGAAGCACTGGCCTTCCTCAAGCAGGCTATCAGGGCTCACTTGTCCCCAATTACATGTTAAGAAAACAACACTGTGTAACTAATGAACACTTACATAATTACAGCGAAGACAAAGAACTTGAGCTTTAATGTGGTTTGAAATTAATAAGGTCAGATCCACAGCTCACATGAATGTGGCCTGAGATTTTAGCATGAAGTAACTTCCAAACGCCTTGTCTTCATTGGCTGGGTTTGTTTCTTTAACTTTAAGCTAGCTCACACAGGACAGACAGGCTGAAGTAAAAGTATGCTCGTAATTCACTAAGAAAGCAAAATTATTTTTAGCAATGATGGAAAAAAAAAATACAACCAAGGAATCTTTCAGTTACTTCTGTAATACAGATAAGCACATTGACAGATATTTATAAAACCCAGATAGAACTGTGATATAAAAGAAACTTATATATGCTAAGTATTCTAAATTAATTATTATTTTCTTTTGTTTAAAGTTGTTTTCCTTTAAGAAAAATAAATATTAAAAAAAGGGAAAAAAAATAAAAATTTTCCAAATTTTTTTACTGTAAAAAAAATTCTGAAAAAATATTTTCAAAAAATAGTAAAATCTCTTGATTTTTTTCATTCAGAATAATTTTTTTTCTTGATCAGCTGTAATACATTTCCTTTTTTTTTTCTTTCTGAATCCATGCATGCTCTTTATTAGTTTTGCACCTCTATATCATCAACCAAACATTTTTTGGAAGCAAAAGGAGAATTAAAGAAGCAAAGAGCTCCAATAGCAACTTTCTCTAACAAAAGCCTAGCAAAACCACCCTCCATAGCTCCCAAGGTACTCTAAACTACTTGGATAGTGTGGTCTCCAGCCTCTTGCCTCCCCTGTTTTGCAATTTCACTGTGTAACTGCCAACATTTCTGTAAGTTATATTAATTCCACTTACATATTAATTGAATATCACTGATTAATTCAGCAATACTTCTCAGGAAAGAAAAGTTTAAAATTGTACAAAATTAGATTGACATTAGACTGAAAGATATACTCTGAATGTACAAAGATGTGTTGACAGAAATACAAGACAACATCTGGAAGACAGTGTAAGTACATATTATTTAGAATACAGAACTATCTAAGCTCCTGTTTTCAGATCTCCACTAAGGCTTGACAGAAAACAGGACTGCCTCTTTATCCAGAGTAAAAATCTGCAACATTTTATAATTAACAATATTATTTCTTATTGCAAGGGCACACAGTCCCTGTTCTTTGACATCTCTCTCCTGATACAAGTTGTTAAATACAGTTCTGAAAATTAAGAACTCAAATTCATATTTACATTCTCACAGTACAGGTGCTTTGCACCTAAGAAAACACAAAGCCCTTTGTCTAGAGATGCCAATATCTATTTCTTAATTAGCAACTTTCAGAACCAAAACAAAAGCAAACTGAAACAATCGTATGGATGCCTGAAATTGAGAGTGATGCTTACAGTTTAATAATGAAGACCATGACTAAGACCTGTAATTTTCAGTCAACAGTATTTTATTAAATTTGTTATTTAGTTACCCTATCAAAAACATTTGTGAAATCATGTAAAAGGTAGGAAGTTGGTTAATAAAATTCAACATAAAGACACAGAATAAAATATCCATATACACATTACCTTAGTGTTCTCAAGTAGAACTTCATCTCTACCTAAGCCAGGTCCTATGACAACTGAGTGCAGTCGTGGTAACCATTTTTCCACCTCATGGACAGCATTGGGGCTATCACTAAATGGAATTGGGAAAAAAAGACAAGTTTACAAAGGCTTCATTTTAGAATTCTCAGAATCTGAGTTGACGATGCAAGATAAAAAGAAGTATTTCCTATCTTGAGTGTCAGGCAATTTTATCCTCCAAACTACCAAAAATCTGTGACCCAGGAAATATGGAAGGGCTGTCCTAATAGCGAGAATGAAGCATTTCTCTCAATTCATTCTTTAGGGGTTACCACACAAAACTGAGGAGGCAACTGCAAGTATCCACCTTGGTTGTTACAAAATAAAAAAATAAAACCCAAGCAGGAAACCAACAATTCTTACAGTCTGTCACAATTCCTTATTTAATGCTTCTTTGCAGAGATTACACCTCAGAGAGAGATCCACCATCTCGCAGGTATATACTGCGGCTTGTTGGAGGAAATGATGCAATTATTTATTACCCTGCATAGCAAAATGATAAATCTACTCTTACGCTTTTTTGTCAGTTCCTTCATAAGCATTTGTTCCAACTGAATTACAGCCAAACTGTCCCCTTTCCCCAAAAGGCAACAGGAGAATCAAGCTATTCAGTAAGGGTATTATCTGCTTGTAATGCTAAAGATTTCTGTAGTGTTCAGGTTTTGTCTACATTGGAAAAATGATGAGAAAATCCACTGTCAAATATAGCTGCCACAATACAGCATTCAGCTGCTGACCAGAATTGTTTATTTTGTTCTGATTGGTTTTGTTGTGTAAATAGGTCAGAATATTTTGAAAGCACTGCCCAGCAATGTCAGTTAATCTTTACTGACAGTACGGAAGGAAAATTTAGCCTCCCTCCCCACCACCAGCATAAAATGTTCATTTATCATCATCATTTAACTGAATCATGGGGGAATAAAGCTCCCCACAGGCTAAGCGAGGAGGTGCTATTTGATAGTATTACTCAGAATATTTTGAGCTTGCGGTACTTCAACAAAGCTCTATTATTACGGATGAAAGCCCTTGCATGTTTTTCATAACCAACAGCTGTACTGGTGGGACACACCACTTGGGAACAAGTGTTTAGCTCATGTCTGGCAGAATCAGCAAATTCCACAACGATTTCTGCAAGTGCCAGGCAGGAGCCCAAAGCTTTTGCAGCTGCACGGAGCGAGGCGGCCCCGCTCAAGGCCGCAGGGATGCAGCGCCTCGCGCCTGGCCGCGGCCCCGCCACCCACAATAGCTGCTTCAGAAACCCCCGGCTGCAGCAGCACTGGCTCCCCAAAGGCACCCTGTGCTGACACCACAAAACAGCTCTGTCAAAACACGGCTGCTGGGTGGAAGAGGTGACCCGCCGCAAGGGCAAGGAAGACAACGAACCACGTGAGGACATCAGTGTCCCTGAAACAGTCCCCCCGCTTAGCAAGCTGAAGTTGAATTTCCATTTGAACGATGCAGCTCCCTCCCTTCTCCTCTAACTCACAAGGAAACAGTAATAGCTTGAGAATTGCTGAACAGCTCACCTTTTGGTTTTTTGTTTTTTTTTTTTGTCCTTGTACAACCACCTATCAGTTTATGATGTAGATACAGGCTGGAAATAAAAATGAATCAAGAAATATTTAAAGCACTATCAAAAAAAGCCAGTCCTTTTATACGTGGTAGGTTCAACATGTGACAAACTGTCTGTGAACCAAATTCTAATAAAATGTCACCATTTCTGAATGCAAGACCAGTTTTTTATTTACATGCTGAAACTGATTTTGTCCCTAGAAAAGCAATATGTATCTCAAATATATATTTCTCAAGTAAATATCCATATATCATATAGATATAAGAATACTGCTATATATATAAGGATGTTTGAATGGATTGAATTCAAAATACTTTTGTAGAGTAGAAGACAAATACATTAAATAAATGTTCCATTAAACGTAAGCTAAGAACAGAGCCATAGATAGTACCATATCTGGTCTGCTCTTTTACAAATATCTCATGCAAATAATCTCAAGGTAGAAAGTTTGCCAATTTATTTATATTCAGGACTGAAAAAAGGTAATTTTGTCTCCAACCTAATTGATAATGTGCACTCTTCAAAACAAAGCCATCTCTCTTGGGAAATGAACAGTCCAACATTTAGCCACTCCTGCTCACTTTGCCTCTGGTAATAATAAAAACCTACTGTAGAGCTTTTCATCTTCAAAGCATTTTACAAACATTACATTCACATAACTCCTTTGCAACTTCACATCAAGAAGCAACCCAAGGCATATGAAGGGCCAAGAGATTTAAAATCATGATAATGACTATTACATTGCAAAATCAGCCATAAAAACATGCTGTAAAATAACTGATGGATTTTGATTTTTCATAAAGAAAGCAGAACAAATACAGCATCAGAGAGGCACCATGACAACATCACTTTAAGAAACTGGATGTTCACAACGGCTGTGGCTATGCAGCTAAGGACACCTCACAAGTATCCTGTATCTACAGCTTCCCTGAAAGTGGAAGGGCTATTGTGTCATTTTACTGTTTATTTCCATACACAGACATCAAAGCATTTTAAAGCTGACCGGGTACAAACGATCAACACGTAACTTCCTTCAGTAAAGGGTGTCACCTTGAGTGTTCCTGACTGTGGCATTTAGCACAAAGACAGAAACTCTTCTAGCTCTTAGCAGCTACGGTCTATATACAACATTTAAACACGCCCAGAAGAGTTCTCTGACACGAAAGTCAGCTGGCCTCTACACCCTCCAGTTTCAGAGCAGGGAATGCTCAAGCGGCCTCCCAGGCACAGTCCCTGGGCCACGGTAGTGGCTCACCAGTGGAAGAAATTGTTGGGAGAGGCTAGATGGTATGGGCTAAAAACCGTGCCAAGGATCATTTGGATAATTTCCTAGCACAGATAATCATGTTTGGGTACTTGGGAATAAATATTCCTTGGCAGTGTTGAATTTATTACTACAGAAAAAAGCCAGTGCGTATTCTTGTTTGTCTGTGGATCAAAATCAGGGAAAAAAAAAAAAAAAAAAGACAAAGTACTTTGGGGGCACCAGCACAGAATGCAAGTCCTCAACCGCTCACTGTGTAGTATGCTCACACAAATAACATTAACTTCCTTTGTCCCTTCTTGACAATTTCTCCGCCTGATTACTACCCTGATTTCAAACCTCTCCATTTAATTATCACCTCCACTGTCCAAGACATGCATGCACAGTTGAAACCAGCGCTGTATTTTTTTTTTTTTTTAGAAAGTATCTAGAAAGGTATAAGGTATGAAGAAGATATCCTCTTGATCAAAAGAGATGCAATCTTCAGGGGGATCAAGGGGATCAAGTAAGCAAGAATCAGTATTGCCTTTAGAGGTGCAGAGCCATACAATACGTGATTTGGCTTTTTTCCAAAACAGAAATCACGAATGCAACACCCCTACTCTAAAGCACAAAGCTAGTATTAATGTAAAGAGGAGTCAGAAAATCTCTTGCAAGGCCATGAGGAAACAGCATTTGAATTTCTGAAAAGAGGGTAAAAACCTTTGAGAGACTGATCAACTAAAAGTCAAGGATTTCCCAAAATAAAGCAGGCTTTTTTGGAAGGTGACGGGGCAAGAGACGAGGAAAGAGTCTGGCTTTTCCATAATTTGAAAATACATACTCTGCACCATGGACATATACAACAGGAATAATTTGGAAAGCTGAATCCAAGCAGTAAAACCTGTGAACATGGGGAATGAACTACAGTACCATTATGCAGATGTGTGTAATTAAAGACTCCAGTGACAGACCACAGCTGTAGATTTGCAGGGAATGAACAGATCTTCAAATAGCTACTTAACTTTCAGCTAACCACTACATGTTATGTGACGTTATCAGATGGCATTCTGATGAAAATCTGGATTATGACAGCTCACTGTTGTTCAACCAAGCAGCCAACCAACCCCTCCCCTCCAAACCCAAAAGCTTCCTCAAAGTCTTAGCTTGTCTGGGAAGTGACTGATAAAGCTGACTACATACAGAAAAGAACTATCACAGGATAAACACGTATGTAACAACTGCAAGACAAGAGAATCGTTAATAAGGAAAACCAAAGGCGCTTCTGTAACTCATCTCCTACCTGTGAAGTTTAGTAGGTAAGAAAGAGCCTAAAGCTAATGTCAACAATCATTCAATCAACTTTACACATTGTCCTAGTCAAAGCAGATCTAAACTAATAAGCAACCATACAGAGAGTCTCACAGGGAGGGCACCCTATGAAAAAGGACCCCACAGATGTTTACCTGATCAGCTTTCCATGGCTATTAGTGAGAGGTAGGAGAGAGACAAAGCTTAGCTCAGCGGAGGCTGAGAAGACTGTGATCTCTTGGGAAGACACAACAGCTTTATCATTTGCCTTCCTTGAAGCCCCTGTGTAGACAGGGCCAAGGTACAGTGTTCCAGCATCTTGCATGTTCATCTTTTCCCTGCCTCTAGAACATATTGAGAAAAGTACTTTCCATGGCAAAATCTACAAAGAATCTTCAAATTAAACAGCACTGAGACTCTGAAATGGTAAGGACAATTTTTCTTTATGACTTATCGATAGCTTTAGATAACTTCTGCCAAATTAAAACCAATACACCCTGAAAAAACTCCTCGTCTTGCCACCTCAACTGTTTTTGCATACACCAACAGCACTGGTTTCGTTACAGTGCTTATGGCAGTAATTGCTGCATTCTGTACTGCATATTCTCACTGTTGCCTCTTGATGCACAACCTCGGTCTCTTATAATACCTTTCAGTTTTGAAAAGCTAATACATAAAATAAAAACTTTAAGTCAAGCTTTCTGCTCTTCAGGACTCTTCTGTATTTCACTATCACACAACAAAAACTGACATAAAACACAGTTCTGTAGATCTTCATCTTAGTGAAAGCTTGATGTAATAACCTTTCCAAAAACAACAAAGAGGCTGAAAAAAGTTGGTGGCTACTGCCCTAATACCACTTACAGTTTCTAAACATCTTCTAGAGCAGTTTGTAACAGATATTTGATGGGTTCCATCTGCTTGA